CTGGTAATAAAATGACTCCCATTCCTGATTCTAAACTGTAAATAAAACAATTCCTAATGTTAAAAGCCTCCATTTTTCTATAAATCTCCCAATATAAATTTATAAACTTTTTATTTCTCAATTATATTAGCTTTTACAAGTTTATTTTTATTTTTTTTAAAACTATATAGGCTGTTTGTTTTTTTAACCATTACCTAACATTGTAATTAACAATAAAGTTTCTGAATGGCTTCCAGTATTAAGTGGTGTACCACAAGACGAATTTTTATTGCCACTTCTATTTGATCTAAAGTTAATTCCTGATAACTCAAACCTCCAAAAGGCTTTGGAAAATGGTTCTACTTAAAGAATGTTCAACTAAAGCAAATTATTGTTAGGTCAAACTTTGGCTGAGTTAGATGAATTATTAGTTTGAGTTAGATGAATTATTAGTTTGAGTTAGGGCAACTTTCTTTATTCAATACTAATATATAAGCATTAGATATACACCATTATACTAATTAGGTTTAAAAAATGTTTCAGTGAAAAAAGTTACGTATAATATTCACACTGTACTGAATCTACAGTGTAAATAGATTTAAAAAAACATTAAACTAAAATAGACATTAAAAAAACGTTTAGCAACTCAATGTCTTCTCCGGTAATAAAACTGTGTTTAAAAACTAGCGAGATTTATTAAAACTAGAAATGGAATTTTTGTTTCAAATTTTAGATTGAAAATCTGCTTTTTTAAGAGCATCTTCATACACACGTTTGGAAGAGTTAAAAATATTTTCCTCAGTTTTAAAATAGTCTATTCCAAAAACTAATAACTGCCTATAATAAAATTTCTAAAAAATGTATATTATGTTTACAAGAAAAATTTAAAATTGTTACTTATTTTATATTCAAGTTATCAGGAATCAACTATATTTATTAATTGACATGCCTAAACTAGTTTACAGTACCTGCAAGCTATTTGCAAATGACAGTAAGTTAATCATCAAATTAAAAACCAAAATGATCAAGAAATATTACATGATCTCAATAAACGTATTAAATGGACAAGCATGAAATTAAATCACAAAAAATGCAAAGTTATGAAAGTTTAAATTTAAAAATTAATTGACCAAATAATTCTAGCTACCCCACTATACATAACTACTAACGATGGAACAATCATCAAGTTAAACGATTACTCAAAGCTTACTTAAAACTAGGTATATTGAAGCAGACATTTACATTTTGGTCCATTATCTCATATACATTAATATATAAGTGTATATATATATATATATATATATATATATATATATATATATATATATATATATATATATATATATATATATATATATATATATATATATATATATATGCATTTATATACAGGGCTTAATTTAACAGTCGGACATCGGATATTGACCAGCTAAAACCTCAGATTGTCCGATCAATTTACAAAGTCATCGGACATTTTGTCCGGCGGGATTTTCAATTCTTTAAAATAAAATTTAATTTTTTGATTTGAAATTGACAAAATTAAACTTTATGTAAACTATTAGACAAACTTTCAAAATATGTTGATAATAGAGGCATTCATTCCCAAAAAAAGCGCTGTTATTAATTGTAGTTTTAATGACAGTTCTTTAACAGTTTTGTTATATTATTAAATTTAAAATTATTGCTTATTTAAAATGATCGCAAAATGGATATTATAAAATGCGAATGAGCAAATTAACTTTGAAAAAGCGCCTAATCTAAGAAATGTCGCATTATTGAATTCTACTGATATTTCAATTATGTAAAAGTTTTTTCAAGAAGTCAAAAGATGAGATAACAATAATGAAAAGAAGCTTAAAAAAACATTTAATTATATCAAAATGGGGAAAGTTGGTGTAGCTAATTATTTATTTTTTTATAGAGTGAATAAACTCTCATTAAAAAAGTATTTTGTTTTACAAAGTAAGTCAAAGTATGTTTGATTGATTACTGCAAACGCTGTGGAAACCGAAAAGAAAAGAAAAGCTGGCAGTTTTAAAAATTTGATAATAAAAGATTTTACAAATGTGTTTTTTTAGAGGCTGAGATCTCATCGATGGAATATTTAAAAAAAAAAAACATTAAGAAGATATACATTTAAACATTAACGTTATGATCATCCAAATCATTCTATTTTAGCTTGAGCGGTTTCTCGGTGGTATCCTGGTCCTACTAAAAAGACTAAAAAGTTCTAGCTTTATAAAAATTGTCTGCCAAAGAAGGAGTGCCTTTTTGAAAAGTAGATAAATAATAACCTGTAGAACTCATAAAATTTTCTTCGTTAAATTGATCGAATTTTAATGACATGCAGCGCGTCGAATTTTTAAATTAAATAATAGCCTGTAAATATCATATTGCGTTTGATTTAACTGCCTTTAAATAAGTAAAAGCGAAGTTTAAATTTTTTATGTAAAGTTTAAAAATAATATGTTTATCTTAATATTTAATATATTTAAGACATTATTATACTATATTACTATAACAAACTTGTTTTCTTGCCGTTTTTATTATTGATAAAAATAGTTACATGAACACCATATAAATACCTTTTTGGCGCTAAAAGTGGAGCTTATGCGCAAAATTGACACTTAGCATATTATATTTTGTTAAGTAAAAAAAAATTTACATAACTTTTATAAACGGGTAATGTAATGTAAACTAACAAGGTTTTCGAGAGAAAAAAACTCAATAAAACTTCAAGTCTATCTAAAAATATGCGCAGTAATTAATTTAAACTATTTCAATTAAATTAAAAAGATCTACGATGATAAAAATTCTAAATATAAAGAAAAAAAACTACAACTTCACTAGCCTAAAATAAAATAAACTGGGAAAACATAACATATATTTCGATTGGATAATTGGGTTCCGTAAAACTCTGATACGCCAGTAGCTAGTCTAAGAAAACCCATCTGCTGTACTTTTTTACTCTCGGCATTTAAAGAACTATCTTTTTCCTGTGTTCCTTTTAACTAAACAAATATGATATATATGTAAATGTTTGTGAAAATTATTTGTTCAAATTTTATTTCAAAAATTTGATCGGACCTTGATGTCCGGGACCTTGAAAAAAATTAAATTAAGCCCTGTATATATATATATATATATATATATATATATATATATATATATATATATATATATATATATATATATATATATATATATATATATATATATATGTATATATATATATATATATATATATATATATATATATATATATATATATATATATATATATATATATATATATATATATATATATATATATATATATATATATATATATATATATATATATATATATATATATATATGTATATATATATAAAACATATTTGCCATTTAATTCAACATTGTTTTGTTATTAAAAAGTGAATTTATTCCCTGTCTATTTTTTAAACAATGAAAAAATGAACAAGGATGTTAAATGAATTAACTTTATTTAAATTTTTCCTAGTAAATGCATTTACTAAACTTTAAAACATTGCTGTCGTTTGTAAAAACTAAGAAAAGCAGTAGACTAATTCTGACAATCAATACTGATTTTGCTTTTCTTGCTCTACCGCTTACTAGCTAATTGCTTTAAATGAAAGATTCTATAGTGCATTAGATGGAGGCAGTGAGGCCTTGCTTGTGACATTTCAAAAGCTTTCAATAAAGTTTGGTCTTCTCAATAAACTTACTTCATATAGTGTGTGTGGGGAAAATCTTGAGATTATTAAATCATTTCTTTCTAACTGCAGTATTAAAGTCATCCTGTGGATAAAAATTTTCTTTATTTCCAGTAACTTTTGGTGTACCTAAAGGTTCTATCCTTGGTCCTATATTATTTCATATCTATATTAACGATCTTCCTGACAATATTACATCTAAAGTGGCCCTATTTGCTATTCTATTACCGGCGTGGGACTTGCAGAGGTTTGTGAATTTTAATAATAAAAAAACTCAGTTGTTTACAGCAAACAACTCAATCTCACTGTGTCAACATTCCTATATTGATGAATGGCAACCCTCTCTTGGAGCCTACTTGAATTATCATTCACTAGTAACCTCTCATAAAAACATTCAGTACTGACCTCTAACAAAAACAGTTCTTGGAATTAGAGTCGGCATGCTGCAACGCCAACCCCTCAAATAAAATAATTAAAATAAAAAAGGAAAAACATTTTATTTAAATTCTAAACTCAAACCTATTATTTAAATTGTAAACAAAACAAAAACAGAAAAAAGAATGCTTCATTAATTCATATTTAATTAAAAAAAAAATCTTTTTAAAAAAAGGAAAATAAAATAGGTAAAACTTATTTTATTTCAATAACTTAACTTTTTTAAACTTCCTTAGAAAAGTCAGCAAACCTATTATTTCTTTCTCTGTCTATTTTATGCTAAATGTTCACTCATTCCTCGATTTGTCAACGCTGTTTCTAAATTTGTGCCAACCTAGTGAAGAAATAAAACAGTTTTGCAGACTTCATTTTTCCTGATTCTGAAGGTTGTGAAAACCATATATATAATCATATACAAAGTTAGCATTTGCTTAAGGTTGCTTTTCTTCATCTTGCTACTATCTATTTTCTTATTCCTAACTCCATTCTCTACCTCAACAAATTTTTATTCAAAATATTATTATCATGTTTGCCCCGGTTCTTCTAATTATGCTTATATAGACAAGGTCCAAAATTGAATTGTAAATATAATTGAAATAGCTTTATCTGCCAAGTTTGAGCCACTCTCCCATTGTTGTAAAGTTGTATCTCTTTCTCTTTTCTACAAATTCTATCATGGTCGCTGCTTAAATAAGCATTTATAGTTTCATCAACCAAAACTATCTTGCTTGACTTTGTATAATATTTCATACATGTAATATATATGTATATATTTTTTCCTGTATGACATTCAGTTTTTATAATTGTTGTGTTTACAACTTTTGTAATTTAGTTTTAGAAGAGAAGAGAATGATTGTGTATGCTTAAAATTATGTTATTATACGTGGCGCTATGAGTAGGATTTAGTCGAAACAAAAATTTAAAAGTTAAATTAAAATAAGCAATATTTAAAAAAAAAAAAAAAAGTTATTATCAGAATACTATATTACAATGAAGAGAAAAAAAAAAGTAAAACATTACAATTTCTAAATCAGAAACAACATTTGAATTAAAAAGCTTTGACAAAAAAGCTCTACATATGATGTTAGACATGCAACAACAACAAATGTATATGCAGAATCAAATAACCGAAATGATGAAAACGATAATGTCATCACAAAATTAAAATAATATCTCATTATTAACTTCAACAAAACAATGTTAATACACGACCATTAATGTACAGTGAATTTCATATGTTTTTGAAAAAAATAAAATTAAAGCATAGGAAAAGGTGTATTCTTATGTAAAATTAAATTTTAAGGTAGGTTTGCTATGGACAACTTTTTGATTAGAAAATTTTTTGATACCCAAATTTTCATATTTAGACATTAAAATGAAATATACTTTAATTATTATAAAGTAAATTTAATCCGGTTTTATGTTTAGTTTCTCATAATAAGCGCAGTGCCAAATCAATTTTTAAAGAAATTCTTAGCTCTCCACCGTAAAAAACATCTAAACAAGATCGTAGTCTGTAAATATTTTATTTGTTATATTATCAATTTATTCATAAATGTCGAAAGTTAAAACTAGATATTCATCCACCACTAGAATTTCTGAGTTTGTTGGACCTGGAAAAGATTTTATTCCTAGTGAGCTGCCTACAAACAGAGCAGTTATTCAAAAAGAAATTTTATTAAAAGAACAAAAAAGCATAACATGCAATTTACACCAAAATAAATATTCTAACAAAGATCTTGCAAGCGATCTAATTCCACTTGTTCTTGCTCAATGGAAAAAAGCAAGTATTTTATTTCAACAATCAGTTACTATTGGGGAGAAATCGCTTTATTATAGAATAAAAACACTTTGGGAGAAAGTAGAAAACGTTGCATGGGGAAGAACTAAGGTAAAAGTAAAAGAAGAGCTAATATTGAAGTTAGATAAACTAATGGACCTCATAACATGTCCTCACACAATACTTCTATGCGAGCATGATCTGTCTGGGTGTTCTTCCCCCAAAAATTGTAAAAATAAAGCACATATAAATTGCACCTGTATTTATTCTAAAAAAATTCCAACTATGGAGCTCAGGTGGTTATACAGTCAAAGAAATAAGACAGGTGAAAAGTCTGACATGCAGATGGGACATGCTGATAAGATTGAGACAATGAAACTAAGAAAAAAGTATAAGAGAAAAGTCAGCGATGAAGAAGCTTACAAGAAAAGAATTAAAAAAATAGAGGAGGAACAAGCATTCTTCGAGGTAAATATAATTTCTTAATAATAAATATTTTCTTTTTTCGTATAATAATAATAACAATAATATATATATACATATATATATATATATATATATATATATATATATATATATATATATATATATATATATATATATATATATATATATTTAGCATGGCCACGATAAAATAAATTGGGTTGCTAACGATTGTGGAAATGCATTGGAGGAGGGTCCATGTCTGCGACAACACAAATTCAAAATGAGGAAGCCTTTTAGCAGAAATACCTTCAGGTATCATTTTTTCCAAAATCGAGTTGTAAATGCGTGGAACAGCTTACCATCTGAAATAATAGAAGCTATTTCAATAAATAACTTCAAAAACAAACTAGACAGAGCTGGATTTTGCAGAAACTATTTGTTAAAACACAAACAAAAGACAAAATGAGCTGTTACAGTGCAATATCTTATGTTATTGCACTTCGCAACTGTTTAAAACAGTTGTTACAGTTATACCTTATTATTATTATTATTATTATTATTATTATATATATATATATATATATATATATATATATATATATATATATATATATATATATATATATATATATATGTATTTTGGTTTTAATTTAATTTTAGGTCGCAGAAGAAGAAGATATAGAATTAGATAAAGAACATCAAAAAAATATTTTTCCTAGCTTTCTCGATGAAAACTATAATCTAGATAATGTTAACTTAACTTTAAAACAAGACAATGAAATTAAGATTTTGGTTAAAAGGCTGCTAAAGGAAAAGTTAGGTGTCTATGCTTTCCTTGTAACACGGTTTTTAGAAAAGAAGTCAAGATATAACACAATGTCAATAAAAAACACAGCTATGGCTACTATAAGGTAATTATATTGACTTTTGTTTTGTTGAGCAGCAACATGAGTTAATAGAAATAAATATAAACCATTCTTATTTTATAGGTTTGGGATTTCACCTGCCGCAACTGCAGCAATTGCTACAAGTTATCTTCAAGATTTAATTGAAGCAGGATTTCTCACCCCTGAGTCCTCTTACCTTGCTTGTGATCCTTCTAAGTTGACGAGAGAGAGAAAAAAGGTGATGGTAGTTGCGAAGAAAAATGATAATTTAAAACTTCCGAAAGCAGAAAATATTGCCATTTACTTTGACGGAAGGAAAGATTCAACAAGAGCAATGATAAATGATTCAAATGGACAGCTACATCCTATTATTATCAAAGAGCAGCACATTACTGTGACTATAGAACCTGGTGGTCGATATCTTGGCCATTTTACCCCAAATGCACCTAATCATCTAGATAAGCCAGCTAAAAAGATTGCTGAAGGTGTTTACAATTTGCTGCAACAATATAATCTTACTGAATCATGTTTAGTACTTGGAGCTGACAGTACTTCAATTAACACAGGCTGGAAAGGTGGTGCTATAACGCATCTTGAAAAGCTGTTAGGTCACAAGTGCCACTGGGCTAAATGCATGCTTCATTCGAATGAATTATTTTTGCGTCACCTTATAGAAGGCATTGATGGACCAACATCATGTAGTACTGGATTTGTAGGTCCTGTGGGAAAATTTCTTTCTGATGTTAATAAAATGGAGTATAATCCTCAATTTAAAGCTCTTCCAAATGGAGAGAGCTTTGTCAACATTTCAGAAACAATATTAAAAAACATGTCAACAGATCAGAAACAATGTTACAAGCTATGTAAAGCAGTTAAGATTGGTTTATTGCCACCTAATCTTAGAGAAATTCAATGTGGCCCCTTAAGTCATGCCAGATGGCTCACTACTGGCATGAGAATAGTCTTTATGTAGACAAGGAAACACAACTTAAATGATCAAAATTCGCAAAATCTAGAAATACTTGTTGTATTTTGTTTACAATTTTACTTTAAACTTTTTTTTGACATAAAGGTCAAAAACAGACTTGAAGATGCTTCTTATCACATTCTGTCTCAATTGAGAATTCTTAGAATACAACCTGATAGAGTAAAAGAAATTGTGTTTCCCTACATCCAGTTAGGGGCTTGGTATGGGAACCATGAAAGTATACTAATCTCTTTATTATCTAGTAATAATGCAGAAGATCGCAGTTTTGCAGTTGATCAAATTTTGAAACTAAGGGGTAATGATATCCTTGGAGATATGCGAATGAGACCAAGAAAAACACCTAAACTTAAATTTGCAGCAACTACTCTTCAAGAGCTAGTTAAATGGGAAAATGGTGTTGTAGAAGAACCTGTTTTTACTTGTTCGCTCACCAGAGATAAGTTGTTATTACTTAGATTGATACCTTTAATAACTCCTTCGATTAAAATTCATACTCAAAGTACTGAACGTGCTGTAAAACAAGTGACAGTAGCATCCATGTCAGTAGTTGGACCATATGCAAGAGATGGGTATATTAGAGCTAGAGCTCAGCATAGAGAGTTGCTACCTGTTTTTAAAACAAAGAAAGAAATTTTATTAAATTTTTAACTTCAATAGATTTTTATTTTATTTGTTTTTTAATAGTGTTTTAGTAGTTCTATCAAAATATTATTGGGGTAAGATAGGGGGATAAACCACCTATTTTTTGGTGAAAGTATAAAGAACTGTCATGATCAAATTTTTTAATCATTAGAACCTCATAAAAAATTGAATACCCCCTCCTCCTCCCTCTAAAAAATGCAGATAGGATCCATGCAAGATAATGATTTTAAAAAGTATTTAAAAAACTTTCAATAATCTAAAAATATTATTTGCATTTAATATTTTATCGCAATGAAAATGAAAATATAAAATACAATGAAGGACATGTGACAAATTAGATTTTACTAATTTTTGCTATTTCTAAAAGTCCATATTTGGGTATCAAAACTTTTTCCGATCAAAATTTTTTTTTAAGAAACCCTCTTTAAAATTTGATTTTACATAAAAGTACACCTTTTCCTAAGCTTTTAGAAAAAAAAAAAATTTGCTGTACCCTAACGACCATCCATAGAATCTTATATCTCAGACAATAAATGGATAATTTTCCTCGACTCATGGATGAGGTATAAAGAAATTAAAAAACTGAGTCAAGAGATATCTATAATGAACTACAATTAACTTGCAGCGCAACAGTCAGCGAGATGCTTTTCAATTTTGTTGGTCTGGAAAATCTAAGTAATTCCGACGAAGCAGAGCTTCTAGCTCATATCAAATCAGTTTCCGTTAAATCAATCCATCCTGAAGTATACAGACAGCAATTCTACTCAATAAAACAATCTGAGGGAGAAACAATTACAAATTTTATCGCAAGAATAAAATCACAAGCAATGCTCTGTGATTTTAATAGAAAATGTGACTGTTCAACCTATAAATGTACATCTAATTATTCAGAGGATATGATTAAATTACAATTAATAGCAGGAATCAACAACATCAAAACAAAATTCTAAAGGAAATCAATTCGCTAACAACATTAAAAAAGCTGACCAAACATCTATTAATAATAGAGTCCACCGAGAAGGAGTCCCTTTATTTCCGACACACAAGCGATAATACAAATAGCAGGGTAGCCCATCTAAAATCAAACCATCAAAACACATCACACCAAAATCATTTGATTTCAAAACCATATTCAAACATATTAAATTGCAGAGGATGCAGCAAAAGGAGACACCCAACTGGAAGAAGGCAATGCCCTGCATATGGTAAAAAATGTAAAAATTGCGGCAAAAAAAATCACTTTCATTATGTATGCAAAAGCACTAAGACATCCTGCATCCTGTGTACAAGCATTCGACACAAATCGTCAAACTTGTTTATCTATTGATTAGAGTAAATCAGGTATAGGTTTTATACTAACACAAAAACATTGTGAATGCCCTGACATTGATAATCCAATATGTGGCCCATCTATTGGAAAATTGTTTATGCCAGCTCCCGGTTTACAAAAGACGCCAAATGTCTGTACGCTAACATTGAAGACAAATCCTTAGCATTATTATATGGTTTAGAAAGTTGCAAAATGCTTGTGATGGGATGTCCTAACCTAATTAGACAAAACCTAGACAAGATCAAGGATCCTCGGATCCTTAAAATACGCAAAAAAACACCAATGTATTAATTCAAAGTCATCTCGATCCCAGGAAAATATAATCTTTTTTTTTTCATTCAATCTTTTCATTTATTTTCTCGTAGCTTTAGTAAAAGTTATATAAACATTTCATTTAATCTTTTCATTTATTTTCTCGCATCTTTTAGTAAAAGTTATATAAACAGAATTGATAATATTTAAATCGAAATTAAAATTAAAATGATAATAACTAAGCTTAAGCGTAGTTACTATCATTAAGAAAAAAAACATAATCGTTTAATAAGCTTAAACTACTATTTTTTTATCTTCTTTTTATGTCTTTATATGTTTTATTGTCTTTACATGTTATATATATATAATTTAATCTGTTAATTATAATATAATTTATACATATATAATATAATTTAATCTGTTAATTAGTGACAAACATAATTAATTTAATAGTAGCGTTGGTAAGTGATGTCACTAATTAAATGAATTGGATGTTATCCAATTTCCTTTAAAAAAAACTTCCTTTAAAAAAATCTATCAATTTATCAAACTTCCTTTAAGAAATAAAATGAAAATCTGCACGCTTAATTTTAAACTATTAACATTGACTTGAAGTTATTTGTAAGTTTAAAAAAGGAATACTAATTCATTAATTATCAAATATTAAGTTAATTTTGTATTTATAAAGTTCAGTCATAAAGAACTATTACGAAGATTAAAATAAAAACAAAGAAAATAATAAAAATGTTGACCGTCCAAAAAAAAACAGTTGACCGTTAATTCCAAGGGTTAGCTGGTCAAATTGACCGCTCGTCTTTGATTTCTTATTTTACACGCTGAAATTGGATATCAACGTTTAATTGATGTTATAAAATTATTTTTATAAAATATGTTTTTTTGTTCGACTTGTATCAAATACAGAATTTGATACAAGTAAAAATAACAACCACCCTAAGGCGTGTGACCACACGTGCTTCCTGGGAAGGCTTGCAATATGTCTAAATACAACACAAACAGTGAAGCAATAAATTAAAAAAAAAATTTAATAAAAAGATCTTTTTATGCGAACTGAATTTTGTCAAAAACAAAAATTGTCTACAAAATTTAACTACCAATTTTATCTACGAAAATGTATTTAAAAACAATAAAATGCCAAACCAGAAGCATCACAATCTGACATCATCAAGAAAGGAAAATTTACAATATTTGAAGTATTTACAGAGGCCTTTATTTGAGAAGATTGTACTCTAGCCAAACAGGATGCATTCAACAAACCTTGAGCTCAGAAAAAGCAAATAAAATTGTCAAGTAGCTGGTTTATTCCAGCTCTTTAGTTGGGTCATCCACAGAGGTACTGGGACCATAATAATAATTTTATTTTAAATTTTTTATAATATAAACTCATTTTTCAATAACTTTTATTTTCTAAAAAAACTATATAATATATGATATCAGTGCATTAACCAGTCTGTTAACTGGACCATATATATAATGAGAGAAGTTGTAGAGGACCATTTTTTTTTGGAACTCAAACTTTTGCTAAGTCACTAATTTATTCTCCTGATTCAAAAAAAAGGCCATAAAATTCATATACGGATTTACACACTGAATATATATAATAATTCAAAATAAATAATTAAAAAAAAATCTTCATAAAAATTATTTTAAAAGTATTTCAAATTACCTTTTATGGAACTACACAAACTTAAACCATGCTTGTAAATTATAAGAGATTATTCAAAGTACTTTGCAGAAAAGAACAAGTTGAAACCAATATATATTTTTGAAGTACAAACCAATTGACTAATATTTTTTACTTATTACTATAATATATATATATATATATATATATATATATAATATATATATATATATATATATATATATATATATATATTTATATATATATATATATATATATATATATATATATATATATATATATATATATATATATATATATAATTAACATATATACGTTTTGCAAATTTATGATAAGAATCTAAATTGTAACACTGTTATTAATAGAAAAAAAAATAATTTGAGTTTAAAAAACAATCAATATTATAAAAACAATTTAAAGTAAACTGAAAAAAAAGTAATTATAAAATGTACAACTAAAATTGTCTTAAAAACATAAAGTAAAATTTGCTCCAAAAATATTTTATGACCAAAGGTCATCATAAAAAACTTGCTTTGGCGAAGATTGCCTTCTGGCGTACTTCTTCATGCAACATTTTATCTTATTACATATATTGCAAAAATGAAACTTTTATTAATGTTATTAGTGCATTTTCGGTTTAAGACAGTGCTTATTTAAAAAAAAAAAAAACAATAAGAAATTAATGCGCTGGTATTTTAATAGTTTTGATATAAGTCATCTCAAACATTTTAGAAATAGCGATAGTACGACTGGAATTTTTAGTGCGTGTTCTCAGATTTGCTTCGAATTAGGGGTCAAATTCCACCAAATACGCATGCGTTAATTGTATTTATTTATTTTATATTTTAAATATCTTTTGCATCAAACCGCGCTTTAATAAAATGCGTCAAGGCTTAAGGGGGCGACCCAATGTCGCAAGTTGAATTAATTGCAGTCACTGTTTTATATAGTCCGGAAGCGAACAAAGGATCGTGATTTTAAAAAAATTGGGTAAAAAATAAAAATTTGATTACATGCCCCTCATCCGGTTCAAGTCGTAGTTTCGTCATAATCGTCGTAATTTTGTTGCAATTCGTAATACCTGGAGAAAATTGTGCAAATTGGAAAATTTGCACAATTTTCAAATGCATTTATAATTTTTTATTGATAAATTTATTTCCATTCACACTCAAGATATGATGCTGCTCAAAAATTGTTATAAAAACAAGAAGTTTAGTGAATCATAAATGAGATTTTATTTTATTTGGAGTAGAAATATTCAAACTTAAAGGTTTAAAACAAAGTTAAAACAACTTAGTCATCAGCAATTCTATAGGTAATCAAGTCAAGTTTTTCTTCTATGTTGAATGGTATATTTGTTGAAAAAAAGAAACCTTTTAACCTGCAAATCCAGTTCATTCTTCTGATTACTTGTTGTTGAATTAACAAATTTAAAAACGGATGTTTGCCATTGCATTGTCATTGCAGTTAAATAAACAATTGACGAAGATTTACCAATAAAGCTTAAGTAATCCTGATCATTATCTTCTGACTGGTTAGACTTGTTTGATGCTGCAGATGTAGATGGTCTTGACTATGAAACTGATGTATTGCTAAATACTTCTACGGAATTCTTAGCGTTTCCTTTTTTCTTACTTCTGAATTTATCAAAATGGATCTTAACTCTCACCCTATTTCACCTTATTAACGTACAGATTTGTACACAACTTAAGTAAAAATCCAAAAACTCACCCAAAAACCCAGTTGGGTTGGGTTTTGCTCAAAAACCCGGGTTTTTAACCCTGAAATAAACAGAATTATATATGTAACAAGCAGAATTATATATGTAAAATGAAACAAATGTACATAAAACAAATTTTTTTCAACACGTGATCTTTATGTATAATCATTTTAATAATCTTAACCAACTACTTTTGAAGTCAATTTAAAAAAATTCTAAGCATTAACTATTCGTTAGGATCTAAGGAACACTCACTTGTAATTTACCCGACTAATGATATGGAACAGTTTTTAATATAAGAAATTTCAATATTCGTACAAAAGACTATAGCATCCGTGGTGTAGTGGTTAGAGTTCTGGTTTCAGATCTGGACATTCCGTGGTTCGAAGTCGCCATATATGGCTCTGGCCATATATGCATCGATTTTCGCGTCATGTCAATCAATAGTTTTTTCAGCTGTCCTCTAACACATTTTGAGTGTGTTGTTAAAATCAATGTTGCTTTTTTTTGTTTTAACAACATGCATGAGTTTACAACTGTTTTTGAAGATTTGTTGACTACATACAGTAAACTTAAGATAACATCAAGCGCAAAGTCAGGCGATCAAATTAAATTCTAATTTTTTAAATGAAATTCTTATTTAACTACACTATTATTTTGTCATTAAGGTAGATTAGGCTAAATTGAGCAATTTAGTTAATATGAGCATGTTAAAAGATCCTAGTTAATATGAGCATGTTAAAAGATTTCTAAAATGTAAGTAGCGAAGTTAAGTTACTTTGTATTTTTTCAATCGACTTTATGTGGTGATAAAAGGAACCAGTATAATTAGCGTAAATCTATGTGCAGTTATTAGCAGTTCTCATCTAATTAAAACGCTATTAAACATTTTGCTTGTTAAGATATTATCTTCACGCATGAATAAATCTACTTCGCGAAATTTTGATGCTAAGATAATAAAAATTTAAATTCAAAAAAATTGTAGTTTTATCGTTTAAAGGTTTCTAAACAATAAAACTACTTTTTTTAAAAAAAAATGTTTTTATGCTAGTAAAAAGTGCAGAGGCGGATCCAAGATTTTTTGGTGCTTGAGTTAAATAACGTTCAGGTAAGTTCAAAACTCCAAACTTTTTTATGCTCATACTTATGTCATTTAAGAATGCATTGCCAAAAAATGTGTTGATTAGAGCCTGGGAAAAAAATACCCTAATTAGTTGGCATCACCTGCCCCAATGAGAGAGGAAATGATTTTTCGAAAAAAAAAGTTACTTCCTTTAATAAAATTTAAATGTGTATCTATATTTAAAGTTTGATCAAAAAATCATCTAGCGTTCAAAAGTTATAGCCATTTAAAGTTTAAAACCCCCTCAAAACGAGGGGGTTGTAAATTTAAACTGGGTATGATTTCTAAAAAGCATAAAATTTTTCAAAAAAAATTTAGAACCTTAACGATATTACCACCTAATTTAGGATATTAAAATTTGTATTTAGAAAAACCGATTCCCCTACATTTAGGCGGATGATGCCTATTTTTCAGGGTTTTTTTGTTCCCAAGCTCTAATCAGCGCAATTTTTGGCAAATCATCCTTAAATGACCTAAGTATAAAAATAAAAAAATTTGGAGTTTAAAACATTCCTAGAAGTTATATAACTCAAATACTGAAAACTCCTGGATCCGCCCCTGAAGTGGCTTAAAATTTTATCTTTTAATGATTATCTTTTTATTAATAACAAATCATTATATTCCACAAATTAGTTATAATTGTCAGGTTGGTATTTTTTTACTTGGTTAATGTTATTTTTTTGAGCTAATTTAAAGTGCTCATATTACCAAGTGTAATATGATGACTTTTGCTCATACTACCCTGACCACTTTTTTTTTAAAACTTCTGTGTTTTTAAGAAAAAATTTCGGGTCCCCAAATATTTATTTGAATCATGAGTAGTGATCCCTAGAAATTGTTTTTTTCGCAAAAATTTTGAATCCATCATTATCATTTTTTTAAATATTCCAATTTTTGCTTATGGTGCTTATAATACCTTAATCCACCCTATGTCAAATTAAGTTATGCATCAAAGATATTTTGTTAATTGACGTTGGTTATAAAATTTTTGATTTAGTTATTATATTTTAAAAAATAACCGTAAAAACCTAGTTTTTGACATTCTTCTTATATTGCACTATTTTAATAACCCGGTCACGATTATATGTAATGTGAGTAGCCACTTGTTATTGAAAAAGTAAACTCTTATATATTTTTTTTCTAATTTATTTATTGTTTTAATCAACATTACGTCTTTCATTTATTTTTTAGTTAATCAAAAGTTTTATCAACTTTATTTTTATATTTTTTATACCAGTGCTTTATACAAAGAAGGAGGGGTGTGGGAAATTCTTGAATATATATAAATATATATATATATATATATATATATATATATATATATATATATATATATATATATATATATATATATATATATATATATATAGAGAGAGAGAGAGAGAGAGAGAGAGAGAGATAGATATAGATATAGATATATATACACATGGGATGCTACAGCAGCTTGGTAAGAATTCTGCCTATTGGACAGTACTGATGATGTTTCAAGCTATCATGGTCAGCACAATGGACTATAACAAAAGATTACTGAAGCTGAGACCACCAATTACATATTTGGTGTTATGGTCATGTTCTCAACTTAGTTGTAAAGTAGGCAACCAACTGCTGCATTTAGGAGATTTTATTTTAACCTTCTGCAAAATGTTTCAACATTTATAAAAGTGTGATAATAGCAACATAAATATGAAAATAGCAACATAAATTAAATAGATATGAAAATAGCAACATAAATTAAATTTGTTAAAATGCAAACTCTAACGGACAATGAAATAAAAATGACAATGAAAATATTGATATTGATTGGTGAAACAAAGTGGTTGGGTAAATCAAATGCTGCAACAGTGATATTTCAAAAAATTGCTGAACCATTTTAAACAGTCTTTGTCAATTCGATTTTATACCAAATTTGAAATTATAATCATTTTAACTGCCTGTACCTCCCTGCAAATTTTTAAAAAAAGATGTAAAAACGCATTATTAAGCTGAGACATTGCTCATGCTATATCTGAAACTTGAAACCATTTCACAGCCTTTACCTGCAAATATTTAAAAAAGTGAGACCACTGCATATAAATTTAATGCCGAAACCTATAACAATTTGTATCACATTTATAAGATTATCTGTACTACTTCTGTAACACAAATTAAATGCGAAAGTTTTTTTCAAAGTTAATGTTAATATAGATATAAATTTCAAAGTTAAAGTTAATATATATATATATATATATATATATATATATATATATATATATATATATATATATATATATATATATATATATATATATATATATATATATATATATATATATATATATATATA